GAGAGAGAAATGAGAAGCAGAACAGAAACTGTGGATGAAGAGCAGTCTTGCACTCAATTAAGAGTGAGATAAGTCGGAGAAAAAAGACAAGTTGGAGAAAAGAGCTGGGAACATTGCAGTGAGATCCACAGGTTTCCCATTCCTTTCAGCCCAAAAGAACCCCCTGGACAGCAACCAAGCCCAAAGAGGTTCCTTCCTCGCCCATTGCCATGAGACACTTTAACAAATTTCAGCCTCTGGTGATGACAGAACTTCCTCCTCTTCCCTCTCCTATTATAGCAGTTCCAAGACCCCACATAGGACCCCACATAGACACTTAACCAAGTTTCTGATGATGACAGAATTTCCTCCCCTTCCCTATCCCATGACAGCAGTTCCAAGACCCGATGTAGGAGTGGAGCAGGTATGAGCTGAGGTGCATTGGAGGAATAGGAAGAGAAAGAGGAGCAAAAGCTTCAGACTCACCTTGTATTGAAGGAGATGGAGGTGAGAGGAGTGGATGAGAGAGTGAGGAGAAGGAGCTGCTTTTATACTGCTCCTGCACTGCCCCAGGCCCACAGACATTGCACGACAGCAGTAATTTTCCTGCAGACTCACCTCAAAAACAAAATGTTCTACCTGGTGGCGCAGGTTGTATTCTGGTTTCTGTCAACCTGTGCTGCCATTTAATTTCCTCATTTTCCACATTCCTGCTCTGCTTTCATGTGCTGAGATGAGGCACCCAAGGATATCCTTGGTGATGCTGTGTCAATGAAGGCAGAAGATGTGTTTGAAGTGTGGTGGGGTCCCGTGAGTACTGAGGATGTTGGCTTGGAGTGAATTGCAATTTTATACAGCTCCCCTTGTAGCAAGAATTTTCAGCTCTCTTCCTATTATTGAGCTTTTTTCTGGGGAGAATGTTTGCCAGTTTGTCTGAGTATGCAGGACTAGGGACAATCAAAGCCTGGCTGGGTTTGAACCAGAGCAGAATACAGAGAATACAGAATATAGAATACAGCAGAACCAGAGCAGGCAAAATACACGATGGGCACAAGAAATTCTTCCAGGTAGATGAGAAGTCCAAAGGCTGACTGGAGCAGCCTCACTGAGGACACGGGTTACAGGAAAAGTGGAGGTACTCAAGGAATCCTTGGCCTTGGTTTTTACTAGCAGGAATTGTTGTCAAGAGATTGGGCCACTGGGAAAGTCACCAGCAGGAAAGGTTTACCTGCACAAGTCCTACTGGGGGAAGAAAAATCTCCTCCCCACTACAGGCTGGAGACGATTTGCTCCTAAAGAGCTTCACAGCAGAGGCTCTGGAGGGCACCACGGGACAGCCCAGGGCCCTTGTGGAAATGGCATCTGAAAATATCCTGGGCATCATATTTCAGATGATGGAAGGTGATCTCAGAAGTGTGGAGATAGAGGAGACAATGCCGCTCTCAATCTTCACCTACAAGAACTCCCAGGCTGCTGCATCCCTTAAAAGAGTTCTGAGAAGGTGGGGGAGCCTTCTCAGCAGTGAATGGGTGTCAAAAAAAAGACTGTCTGAAAAGAGTCAACCAGTGAAAGCTTGCTAATGCATTCTGGATCATGGTTTCTATAAAGTGAATTACTGACTGTCTGGGGAACTGGGCCACAGAGGCCCTCTAGCACTCAAGAAGAACAAATAGCAAGATCTGCACTTGGAAATTAAAAACTTCTTCCAGCAGTATGGGCTGGAAACTGAACTATGCTACAGTCCTAGAGTTTCAGCTCTCTTTTCTCTCGTGAGGATGCCTTGGGGAGAGGCTTGGAGGGTGCAGTGGATGCACAAACCTCATCCTGCTGGCCAAAGGGACCTTGCTGTGTTGAGGAGCTCTCCTGAATGCTCTGTGGAGGGATAGGAGGGGTTGCAGAAAAAAATCTCCCCACTGGTTGGGACTCATCAATGGTCCCTCATCAATGGTGTATAGGAATGTGTCACCTTGTTGATGGAGTGACAAAACTATCCTTTGTCCCCTTTAAAGGGAAAGAAGCCCAGAAGTTTCTCTCCTCAATTGGGTAAAAAGACATTTTATAGGTCTAGGGGACTTCACCTCAAATTTAAGGATAACCAATTGGACAGGGGCCAAAAAGTCCCACCTGAACAATTCACTAGAAAAAGAAGAGAACAAAGAAATGAATAGCTTTTGTGAGGTGTTTTACCAGCAGCAAGAACCTCTTGCACCTGGATTGGTTTTTCTCTGTAAAGAGCTTTGTTATTTTGCCTTTTATTAAACCTTTTTGTTTCCAACACTGCAGCAGAAGCCATCCTGCTGATTTTATTCTTCCAAAGGTGGCTGAGCTATCCTGGGTGAGTAATAGACCTCCAAGAGCTTTTGAGACCTGGCTTGAGGAGGCAACTATTACTCCTGTGCATTGAGAATTCTCTTGGCATCTGTGCTTCAGCACTCCTTGTTTACCATGCCCAAAAATCTTGCTTGGAGAGCAACCCAGCAACCCTTGGGGAAGCAGGAACTTGTCCAGCTCCCTAGTAAATGAGATCTGTCAGTGACAGCCCTGCAGTGCCACGCACCTCAGAACACTGAGGGAGGGGATGTGCTCAGAAAAGCCCTGGGTACCAAACCTGCTCTCAAACCACATTAAGGACTGATGCACTTCCCTGCCCTGCAGACTTGGAGGCAGCTGGGATGCATCCCAGAGGGCAAGGGAATGCCTTCAGTAGGCAAATTTCCAGGGGGAGACTCTCCCTACCTGTGGCAAGTCATGCTCTAATTTTGGGTTGGCTGTGTGTCAGCCTTTTGGTGTGAGGCCAAGGCATGAGAGTGTGATGTCTGCAGACCCATGGCCCTTGCAGGGACACAATTGCCCTCCAGCAAGGGCAGATCCATCCCTAACCCAGGAAAAGTGGTGCAAGAACTGGGCTGTACCCAAGTACACAGCTTCAGGCAGCCACCACAGCCATTGCTGACAGCATGAGCATCTCGCCAACACTCCCATAGCTTTAGGGGCTCACAGGGCAGTCAACATGTTTTGCAAAAGTCTCTCGTGCTGGTCAGGGTTTAAGGCATGCAGCCAAAGCTCATGGCACTGTGAGGAGAATGGGACAAACAAGGTGCTGTGCCAAGCTCCAACACACCCCTCATGTAGTGAGGGGAGACCACACCAGAATTGTGATCGTGGTCCTTAGGAAGGATGACATTCTCTTTCTTCATGGTGACTGAAGGCAGTGATTTGAGACCCCCCAGAGGCTGCCATGAGAGGGGATGACTCTTCCAAGTAAATCTGTAAAGGATTGAGGGAGAAGGATAAGTCATGTCATTAGGCAAAGGAGCCTTTGTGCACCTAGGACATACTCCTGCACTGGCAGGGGGAGAGCCAAACCTTTCTGTAATGGGGTTTGAAAAGAACATCACCAGATTTCCCAGTTCCATGTCCTACATCTGCACAGACCCCTCCTGCACCTAGGGGTACATCTTCTGGTGACAGGGGCATGATCCATCTTGGGAAATCATTGTATCTGTCATCCTGGAACTTGAAAGGAGCCTACATAGCATAATGGGTGCGTCAGAAACGAGGAAACGCACTGTCAATGGTGATGGAAAACAGAACACAACCTGGGGCATTAGGTGGGATATTTTGCTTTGAAGATGAGTCTGTTGGAAAATTACTATCCTCATGCAGTGACTGTGGGCCTGGGGCAGCACAGGAGCACTATAAAAGGAGTTCCATCTCCTCACTGTCTCATCCACTCCTCTCCTGCACACAGTCTCCTTGGGAACAAGGTAAGTCTGAAGCTCTTTATTCTTCTTTTATTCATTCTCATCATTGTGCTTCCATGGGATTTTTCAGCACAAAGTTGTCTCTTTGTCCTGTACCTGATTCTGGGGTCCTTGCTTTCTGTACCATTCCCTTGCTCTCTATGGGACAGGGGAAGATGCAAAAGGGGGGACATGGAGAGAGGTTGGAGCTCAGTTAGGTGTCTCCTTTGGTGTGGGCTAGGAAGGGATCTCCCAGAGCTCAGTTGTGTTTTGCAGGTCTCTTTAGGGCTTTGGAGAACTGTGGAAACCCAGGGCACGAGGAATATTCTTCTGTCTGCTCAGGCATGTCCTTGTGCCCAGGGAAGCACTGACTTGGACCCTCATTCATGGAGAAAACTAAATTTCAAGATAGACTGGAATCCACAAAAGTGTAAAATAGATTATAGAGAGTACTCTATGTGTATCCCTTCGTGAAAAATTGAGGTTTTGGGATTTTTAGTGTGTTGTGGATGGAAGCAAGATGGAGAGCACAGGGTGTCACCCGGGGTTTCTTCTTCATGCTTCTTCTTCCTTCTTCTTTGGTTTGGGTGGCATTTTGTAATTGGGCAGAAAAGTCCACTTTGGAATCAGTTATTGGGTTAAAAGGGAAAATCATCCAGGTGTCTGCCACACTTGCGCCGGGGTTGGGGCAGAAACAGGCGAGAGGCAGGGTGGTAGAAAAGGCAAAGAAGGTTTTATTCAAAAGAACCGAGTGGTTTTTATAGAGTGGTACAATAGATTCTATTCTATTGGCTAACTAACAGAAACATCTTTCTCACCCACTGTCCTTGAGAGGAACAGAAAAATAAAGTAGAAAAACAGCATCTGCAAATTGTTTATAGTCAACAAGTTATCACATCTTTCCAGCTCCCTATAACCTCTCACAACCTGCTGTGAGAAATGCTTGCCGTTCCTCTCTCTCTGTCCCATGGCATCCACAGATGTCAGTTCCTAATTGGATAGTTTAGTCTTAAAAGACCTTGTAACCAGAGATTGTTGGCCATTTTGTGCCTTCTTATGAAAAGCTGTCCAACTCACAGTAGTGAGATTGTTTTACTAATAAGAAATAATAAATATTTGAGGCCGAACATGAATTACTGCCCCAAGTGCGTTCAGTCCAGAGTCAGAAAAATGGATGACTGGTACCCTCACAGAGAAGGAGAAGCCTGTGGGCCTCCCTATGATCCTTCCAGCACTTTGTGTGAGCTGTATTCTCTCCTTTGTGGTGATGTTACAGGCTTGTAATCACTTATGCTTTTCTACTCCCTTCCCTCTCTCTCAGGTGCACCTGCAGCCCCCAGCCATGTCCTGCTACCCCCGGTGCCAGCCCTGCCAGCCCTGTGGGCCCACCCCGCTGGGCAGCAGCTGCAATGAGCCCTGTGTCAGGCAGTGCCAGGACTCCACCGTGTTCAT